TCCTCTCCTAGGATACAGTCATACCCAGCTAATTGTAAAGAAAAAAAAAAACTCAAATAATGTATTGGAAAATCTTGCCATTAAAAAAAAGTAAAAATTTAAAATACGCCAGTTGTTATAAAAGATTTTGAAAACTACTCAATATCCAGGACTATTTTTTATTCTCCTTTAAAGTTCTACGTCCAATATATTATCATCTAGAGGTCCAAGGTATTCATTCAAAATCATAATTTACCTTTCCCTTCTGTATTTTTGGGAGCCCTGGTGGCACAGTGGTTAAGAGCTTGGCTGCCAACCAAAAGGTTCGCAGTTCTAATCCATCAGCTGCTCCTTGGAAACCCTATGGGGCAGTTCTACTCTGTCCTATAGGGTTGCTATGAGTCAGAATCAACTGGATGGCAATGGGTTTGGGGTTTGGTTTTCCACATTATTGAGTTAAAACAACAATTCAAAATCCTCTTCCACTTTAAGAAATTTATCCCAAGAAACTATTAAGCAGATGCATATTGTATATATAAGCCCTGTTTACAATGGAGAAAATCCATGTACACCTGTGATGGTTTTGGATATATCAAGTTGGCTCAACTGAACTACATTTCTCAGACTTCCCTTTGTAGTACATTTCTGGTTAGAAGGGGCTACAAGGGATATTCTCTAGCAGGAGTTGGGAAGACAGAAAGGAGGTAGCAATCATTTTGTAGGGTACACATATCTTTTCCCAGTTATTCAAGTACTAATCTAGGTGGTGCTATGAAGAGATTTTGTCGGTATAATTAAAACCCCTAATCAGCTGACTTTACATTAATCAAAAGGGAGTTTATTCCGGGTAAGCCTGACTTTATCAATTGGAAATCCTTTAAGAGAATGCCTAACTCCTCCCTGATATCAGACGCTACAAGCAGCAGCAGGGCCTACAGGATCTTCCCTTCCTGCCTGCCTGCCTGCCTGCCTTGTAGATTTTTCACTTTCTTAGCCAGCCCCCACAATGGTATAAGTCAATTCCATACATATATAATTTCTTACTGGTTCTGCTTCTCTCGTTAACTAACACTCAAAAATATCCATCAGAATAAGACTGGATAAATATAGTTTCCTCATTACAATGAAATTCCATTAAAAATGATGATGTATAATTCCATTTATGAACACAGAAAAGAGACACCAAAATGTTATATGGCAAAACAGGTTACAGAAAAGTATGTATACTATATATTATTTATGTCAATTTTTTTTTTTAATTTAGGGAAAGAGAATGAGATAACTTTGTTTACCAAAGTTTGAATGATGATGAGATTTTAAAGTCTGAATATAGATGTGATTTCAGGTGACTTTTATTCTTTATACTCATCTGGATTGTTTTTATTTTTCTACAATGGCCACATATCATTATAATCATCAGGGGAAAAAAAAAACAAAGCTTTCTCATTTGAGAGGAAAAAATATGTTGGGTAGACATACAGTTTAAAATGGTGCCCTGAGCTAATTCTTAAAGGACAAACAGGAGCTATCCTAGGAAAGTAGACGTTTCAGACAAAGAGCAACATGTGCCAATGATGGAAACTACAAATAGTTTAGAAAGGTTAGAGTTCAAAGAAAGGAGTCACAAGAGATGAGGCTGGAGAGATACATACACCTGAGCTAAGTTATGGAGCTTCTAAGGGACCAGTGCGTGGAGAAGGATATCATGCTTGGTAAAGTGGAGGGTCAGCAAAAAAGAGGAAGGGCCTCAACGAGGTGGACTTACACAGTGGCTGCAACAATGGGCTCAAACATGGTAACAACTGTGAGGATGGCACAGGATTGGGCAGCATTTTCTTCTGTTGTACTATGAGTCGGAACTACAAGTCGGAACTGACTCGACGGCAGCTAACAACTAGTTATGGAGGGTCTTATATGCCTCACTCCAATGGAAAACCAAGGAAGGTGTTAAAGCAAGGTGTCACATCAGCATTTTAGGGAAATAAAAACAAACAAACCACTAAGGCTATCAGTGTGGAAATTGTATTAGAAGGGGGGCCAGACTGGAAGCAGAGAAACTTATTCAAAGGCTACTACAGTAACCCAATCAAGAAATGACAAAAGGCCTAAACTAAGGCAATAGTAATACAGATGAAGAGAATAAGTCCTTGGGTGATATTAGGAGTAAGAACCGACAGAACTTGGCAGCGGATATACTGGTAGTAAAGTGACAAAAGTGGTTCACTTAACCTAGGGAGTTCAGGGAAGGCTTCCAACACAATGTCCTTCAGGGTCTCAAGGAGTTCACTTCAAGAATATTACAGATGGATGCAAGCTGCCTTTAAATATTTCCAAAAGAAATACTCAACATAGTGTTTTGGCTTCACTGGCAGGAAAAATAATAAACAAATTGTTAAATATACTAAAAGTTAGAGCTCTAAACTACAAAAACAGATTCATGATTACTTATTAAGTTATAACCCTGTTTGTAAATATGACTATTTTTTTAGAACTTAGTCTAGCAATATTTACTAAAATTAAAGACATGCTATCCTTTGACTTGTCACAGGGTAACTGTTCTCCCCATGCTCGTCAGTACCAGAAATTATATTCATTTTTGCCCATCTGATTAGATGAGAAAAATGCTATTTACTGTTAGTGATGGAGAGCATCCTTTAATATGTTCACTGTCCATTTGCATTTTCCCTTATGTGAATTGCCTGTTCATATCCTTTGTCCACGATTCTGTTGGGTTGTCTTTTTCTAATTAATTTGTAAGAACTTGGGTATGGTGTTTTTTGTTATACAAAGTTTTTGAAATTTTTCTGCAATCAAACCTACCATTTTTTTCTTTTATGGATTCTGTCTCACTTAAGGGCTACTCTACTATCCACGATTATTAAAATAATCTATATTTTCTCCTATATGCTCTTCTAATTATTTCATTAACAATTTGGTTTTTGTTCTGATTTTTTATCTTTAGCCTATCTGGAATTTATTCATGTGGTGTTATGACTTAGGAATTGTCCCAACACTATTTATTGAATTATCCATCTTTAAATGCCTCCTCTTAGAGCAATAAACCCACTGCTGTCGAGTCGATTCTGGCTCATAGTGACCCTACAGGACAGAGCAGAACTGCCCCATAGTGTTCCCAATCCATAACCTTTAGGGAAGCAGACTGCCACAGCTTTCTCCCGTGGAGCAGCTGGTGAATTTGAATTGCTGACCTTTCAGTTAGCAGCCAAGTGCTTAACCACTACACCACCAGAGCTCCTTCTTAGAGCCATACCAAAACCAAACCAAACCCATTGCCATCCAGTCAATTCCCACTCATAGTGACCCTAAAGGACAGAGTAGAGCTGTCTCATAGGGTTTCCAAGGAGCGGCAGGTGAATTCAAACTGTATACCTTTTGGTTAGCAGCTGAGCTCTTAACCACTGCACCACCAGGGCTCCTCTTAGAGCAATAGATCACTATAAATAACTAAGACAGCAGACAGATAAAATTCCTAGAAATCCTTAAACTTCACTAATTGAAAAAATCCAAACATATTAAAAGTTTATTGAAAGGCATTCATCATTCTCTCTTTAAAAGAAATCACACATTGGGACACAAGCATACAATATACAAATATCAGCATATACTGTAAAATGGTCATTTTTTTTAACTTAGCAGCAATCTAAATTAAATCCAATTATCTTACTACATAAACCTGATCTTTTTTTAACATAAATGGTAATAATAAAAATAATCATTGTTTGAAATATCAAGATTATTCATTGGTTCAGGTCACAAATATCTACTGAGCACAAACTAACAGGTGCTCAGGATACAATGGGGAACAAAAGTATGACCCCTGCTTTCATGGAGCTTGCAATCTAGTGGAAGCTTCTCTTTGTTTTAAAAAACAATATACTTATTTTAAGGTGGAAAAGGAAAAAAGAAATGTTCACACAAATTCAATGCAATGAAAAATATTTTGGCTAATTTTATGACATTCAGTACTTCCCATTTCCAAAATACTACCTTATTTCAAAAATGAAACCCTAGTGGTGTAGTGGTTAAAAGCTACGGCTGCTAACCAAAAGGTCGGCAGTGTGAATCCACCGGTGCTCCTTGGAAACCCTATGGGGCAGTTCTACTCTGTCCTATAGGGTCGCCATGAGTGGGCAGCCACTCGACGGCAACGGGTTTGGGCTTTTTTGGTTTTATTTCAAAAGTATCTATTTAATCCTGGTGACTGTCTCATTACTGGACTCATGCTGAAAATACTGCCAGGACTTAAGGTTAAATCCACTGAAAGATTAATTATTACCTAATCATAACCAACACTCAGAATACCTATGCCTAGTCTCCTTGTTTTTTCAACAATATTTAATTTCTTTCACGATAGTGAAAAAGAACCTCAAAACAGAAAACATTCTAAATTTAGATCTGTTTGCATCAATCATGCTTAGTTCACAAAATTAAAGCTGTTTCTTAAAAGTATATGTAGACTTAATATGCTTTAATGAATCCTAAAGATCCGGCGAATGGAAGTATTGTGTCGCTTGGAGACGAAGTAAGAACTTCTGTGGCCCCTCAATGACAACAGATAACAAGGGTGACTTATCAGTGGCAGTCACCTTAAACTTTAAGGTCCCATGACCGAGAAGCAGCCCCACTCTTAACAGTTTTCTGTTGTCCAACCCCTGTCGCCACGCCCCCCAACTCAATCCCAACCCAAGGCCTCCTCCTCCACACACATCAGCCCCTCCCGGCTGAACAGCGCCCTGGACAAAGCACCACCCAGGAGACTTAGACTGGAGTCCGACCCTGGCAGGGTGACCTTAGTCAAGTGTAGTCCACCTCAGTATTCTCATCAGTGAGATAAGGATGGTACTCCATGCCTGCCTCTACCCACAGACCTCGGCTCAGGACCTAGCGCCTCAAGGCTGAAGGGAAGCTCCAGTCCCGTACCCCATGAGGCTTCCAGCGACTGCCCGGCGCCAATCCCCCCGCACTGGTCCACAACCCGGGCCGAGGGACACGCGCGCTACCTGCGATCTGGGAGACGAAAGCTTCCGCCACCAGAGACATGTCGGCTAGGCGGCCTCGAACCCGCAGTTCCTGCTCCCTTCGGTCCTGAGCAGCCTCCTTGTAACCTCGGCAGCTCCTGGCAGCTAACGAGCCTGGCCTGGACCGAGGATAGGACTTGCAAGGCACACACTGCCGTGACGGCAGCGGCGGCGGCGGCGAGACTCCCAAGGTTACCGCCAGGCCCAAGCCAGGAACTTCCGGTGCAGCTGACAGCAGCGTGCGAGCGCTTCCGCCGGCCCCGCCCCCGCGTTCCTCCGCCCCTGGCGCTCAGAGTCCGCTAGTCTCCTGCTCCCTGACAGCCGAGCTGCCTGCCAGTCCCGGACCGGCGGAAGGGCTGGGGTACCTGGTTCTCAACTCCAGTCGCAAATTTAGGGGACAGTCTCCAAGCTCCGGGGACCCTGAAGGTTTTTAGTATCCTTTCTGTGAGCCAAAGAAAGGAACTAACATTTTTAAAGCGCCCATAGGAATCAGAAACTTTATATATATTCTACTTCGATTCATCCTCAACAACCCAATAAAATGGTATTGTTATTACCACTTTACGAATAAGGAAATAAGCTTAGAGAATTTAAACTGCCTGCTCAGGGACTCAGCGCAGGCCCAGATTAATTCCCTTTTCACTATACTGCTGAATTAATGGGTCCATGTTTAATTATTTCTTTAGTCAAACATGCTTGCCACAGATAAGGAGGCTTGAGCAGCACCCATGCTGGGAGATAGTTTGCCCTTCAATTCTATACACCCAAAATGAAGCTCATCTTGGAGAATAAGAATCGTTAGCTCCACACACTTTTCACCCTTTGGTGGTAGTCAGACAGGAAGAGGAGAGTATAGTAAATCCCACAAACGACCTTTTCGCCCTTAACCTAGTAACTTCATATACATATACAATTATATAAAAATCAGTGTATATTATAGATTTCCAAACCACCAAACCCACTGCCATAGAGTCAACTCAGACTCATAGGGCCCCTGTAGGACAGGGTAGAGCTGCCCCATAGGGTTTCCAAGGCTGTAAATCTTTGGAAACACACTGCTACATCTTTCTCCAGGAGCTGGTGGGTTCCAACTGCTGACCTTTTGTTAGCTGAGTGCTTTAACCACTGGGCCACCAGAGTTCATTCATTATAGATAAGTCTTAAATCAGTACACCCGCTTCTCACTTATTGACATGGTTAGGTTCCAAAGAACAGGTTGTTATGCAAAAATCAGCATTATGCAAAAACGGACAATGACCACATTAGATCACAAAATGGAAGACGACTATATCACTACATAACTGCCAAATTACATTGTTGTATAACTACCAAACCACTGAGAATCATGGCCCAGCCAAGTTGACATACAACCTTAACTATCACAGCCAGTGTTACTCTCACCTCACACTTTGGCGATCATTACTGCCAGACATACGTCATTAATGCACAAAATAGGCAAATAGTAGATTTTTTACTATTGATGTAAATGCAAAATGTTGGATAACGAGAAAGTTGATAAGTGAGGAGTAGGTGTATTTGTATCCCCCTCAGTAACCAGGAATCTTGTTAAACTAAATTTAAATATACCCCAAAACTTACATAGATATAAACACGGCAGTGTTTTCTGTCTGACTGAGATTCAAAGTTGACAAGTGGCTATGAATGGTAGAAATAGAAGGAGACAATAGGGTTTTCTTGTTTATACTGAGGAAGGTAACGCTGATGGTAAAGAGTAGGCTATGCCCAGTTTCTTCCTCCTCATTCCACGGGTGATATTGGCCAAGAGAAATGAGCTACTCCAGATATTTTGGTACCAATAAAAAGAAAAGCTCTTTGTTCCTGTCTGTGCTCTTCACAGAGGAGAATTATGTATAACTGTAAAAAGAAGATCCATTATCATTTCAAGCTCTATGTCTGTGTCATGGATTGAATTGTGTCCCCTAAAAATGTGTGTATTAGTTTGGCTAGGCTATGATTCCCAGTGTTGTGTGATTATCCACAATTTTGTCATCTGATGTGATTTTCCTATGTGTTGTAAATCCTGTCTCTATGATGTTGATGAGATGGGATTAGCAGCAGTTATGTTAATCAGGCAGGACTCAAGCTACAACATTGGTTTGTGTCTTGAGCCAGTCTCTTTTGAGATATAAGAGACAGAAGCAAGCAGAGAGACATGGGGACCTCATACCACCAAGAAAGAAGCACCGGGAGCATAGCGTGTCATTTGGAACTGGGGTCCCTGCGCTGAGAAGCTCCTCTACCAGGGGAAGATTGATGACAAGGACCTTCCCCCAGAGCTGTCAGAAGGAGAAAGCCTTCCCCTGGAGCTGGAGCCCTGAATTCGGACTTCTAGCCTCCTAGACTGTGAGAGAATAAATTTCTGTTTGTTAAAGCCATCCGCTTGTGGTATTTCTGTTATAGCAGCACTAGCTGACTAACACAACTGAGTTTGGTTTGCCACCATTATAAAGCTGTTATACATTTAGACACTTTCAGGATTTTTAAGACTTCTCCATACCATAGAACCTGAGCCAAATCCTTAGAGAATACTGAGAGTTGGACTGGAGAAACAAAAATCAGACAAGTTCAAAGGGCAAAGGCGAGCCCCAGAGTAGGAGAGACAGACAAGAGCCACGCACTGAGAAGACACGCAAGAGAAATGGAGAAAGATCAGAGGCAACGTAAAATATGCCCTGGTAATTTTGATTAGGAGTCTTTCACTTGATGCATTTGCATGGGTGAACTGAGCTGACTCAAAGGTTCTGGGTTTGGATGGACACCAACCTTTGCTATTTTGGTGAGCTTTTTAGAAAAGACAGGGATCTGCTGGGGGCACCATCCATGCTCAACCCTTTCTTCATTGTAGCCAGGAAAGCAGAATCACCAGTGCCACATGGATTTGCTTTCTCTCCCTGACTGATGGTTCTTTTGCTTCCCACACAGGCAAGTTTAGGCTGGAAAGAATCTATAACGTGGGAGGTCTTTATTGCTAAAAATTAAATCCAATAAAATGCAGATGTCCTGACAGTGCCCACAAACAAGCTGTCTTTGTAATAAATAGCCAACTGGACAAAATATATTTATGCATCTGTATTAGAACAACTGGGAGATTAAAACTCAAGATCTGTTTAAGATCACCACTATTAAGGGAAAAACAAGAAAAAAAGCCACTGAAATTTTTAAGAATGAGGTTATAAAACAAAAGTTCTAGGAAATCCATATTTTACCAAAATGATACTCACACAGTTATTTAAAATAAAATATTGATGTATTAACAACATTATTGTTTGCCTCAATAAAATCACTTTTCTTGGCGTTCCGGCAAAATGATGCTCTAGGCAGAAGCACCACGCCGTCCCTCCACAGCAAAGATCCAAAAAACTAAGCCGAACAGAGGATACAACAATCCTGACACCCTAAAACATCAAATGAAGAGATAAAGAACTCAGCCGAGCACCAAATGGAGTGAGAAAACTGACAGAGAATGGAGAGCGAGGAGAGATTCATGCAGAGGTCCCCTACCAGCTAATGCAGCACGGATCTGCCATCTTGGACTCCTATCGGAGACCAGCAAACAGGGGGT